CGCAGTCCCACGATGCGGCCTCTTTCGATCGCATTCTGGTGGCGTGGAAGGATTCGCGGGAAGCCCGGCGCGCCGTCGCCGATGCCCTGCCTCTGCTGAAGGTGGCCGCGAGAGTGACCGTGGTCACGATGGACGCTGCGGAAGACCAGAACGCCGCTCGACAAAGTGTCGCGCGCATAGCCACCTGGCTGGCACGCCATGACATCGAGGCGGAAACCCTGATCGTTCCAACGAGGAAGGCGAACGCCTCGCAGCTGCTGGAGATTGCGCGCGGGGGCGATGCCGACCTGATCGTCGCGGGCGCCTACGGATATAGCCGCGACGGAAAATGGACACTGGGCGGCGTCACGGCCGAGCTTCTGACGGGGGAGCGATGCGCCTTTCTTTCACATTAGTCCTCTACGTCCTGCTGGCGGCTTGCTCCAACCAGGCCGCGCCCGCAGGAAGTGCGGTGCCGCCGCGCGACGAGAGGAATGCCGTATTGGGGGAGGCCGGCGTCGATGTGCCGGCCAGCGGCAAGTTCGTCCTGGTCAATATCCCGTCGTTCGAACTGATCGCCTTCGAGAATGGCAATCCAATCCTGCGCAGCCGTGTCGTCGTCGGGCGGCGTGTCACGCCCACGCCCGAGATGACGACCGCCATCGTCGCCGTGAAGTTCAACCCGTCCTGGACGCCCACACCCGAGATGATGCGACGGGAGGGTGCCCGCTTCATGCCGCCGGGACCACGCAACCCCCTGGGCCGGGTGCTCTTCGAACTAGACAACGATCAACTGATCTTCATGCACGACACAAACGACCGATCGTACTTCGATAAAGCGAGTCGTGCGTTCAGCCATGGATGCATTCGCGTCGAGAAGGCACGCGAACTCGCCGCGTGGGTCCTGGGAACGGCCCGGCCGGAGATCGACGAGGCGATTGCCGCGGGTACCACACGACGGCTGCCTCTGGCCGCTGCGATCCCTGTACGACTGGCGTACCGGACGCGCTTCCCGGATGCCTCCGGGCGGCTCGTCGACTATCCCGACGTGTACGGCCACGGAGCGCTTGCGGAAGCCGGTGGTGATCGTCACGACCCGGAGAAATGCTCCGGCGCGCTATGAACGGCTGCGATGTGGAGAATGTCCCGCTGGATCAGCAGCCCTGGAGATGGCGCAGGCCCTTGATGTCGCACAGGTCGACATCCCGGCTTCCCGACCGCAAGCCGATGAAATGGTCGCGAGCGAGCTGGGTCAGCGTGCGAGATACCGTCTCGATGGTGAGGCCGAGATGGTCGGCGATGTCGGCGCGCTGCATCGGCAGAACGACATGCC